ACAATTAACTCTGCCCCCTGGGTTCCCATCGGTTAGTCATTTTACAATTAGTTAACCCTTTCCCTATGAACCCTGTATGATGTCACACACATAGGAGGACAAACGACACACATGCCATGTTCAGGATGCTGCTGGTTGGTCCTTTTTGGGGCTGCCAACCTACTTGCTCTTGTATCCTTGCTAGCTTCTTGATAGACAGACAGCTTATGCATCCAATAGGTGATGGGATTCTTCACATAGAACTGGAGCTTGTTCTTCTGCTGTCCATTGGGCAGTTGTCCAAGGCACAGGCGCCCTGCTGGTGTGACAAGTTGGGAACTTTGTGTGTTTTGTTTCCCATTCCCTCTTTTAATATTTCCACCCCATACGCTGGCCTGATTTTGCTGCCTGTGTTATATCTTAAGTGGTAAGCATCAGTATATATTTAGGGATCCCTTTGTCTCCTTTTAGCTAGCCTCAGCGTGGAACTCTAAGGATGGCAGGGTACTTAATGCTATCATGGCTCAGGGCCTGTGAGCACCTTCACTCTTACTTTACTCAGGTTCCCTGTACTGCAAGGGGTGTTGAACCTATGGCCCACCAGATATTGTCTGCCTCTGACACCCATCAGCCCCTGCCAGCATAGCCAATGACCAGGGATTATGAAAACTGTGCTCCAAAAACATCTGGAGGGCCACAGGTTCAACACCATTGGTGTAATGGTTACCAAGATTGTTGAGATACATGAAGATATCCACCCTTGAGATAAATTTTTCTCTTGCAGGGAAAGTGCATGTTCCTGGCATTCAAAAAGCAACCATAGCCCTGTTCAGTGGAGAGAGGGCATAGCCCATGCATACCAGGCAATGTTCCTGTGCACGCTGTCCACACGTGCTCCACTTCCAACCTTCTTGGGTTCAGTGGGATGGTCTGAAGGGGAAATCTTAAGGACATTTGGGAACATGTGCTTACAAGCTGCCCTGCGAGAGGCAACACTGAGATTAAGATGGAGACTGACAACCAATGTTACCTCCCTGGACTGGATGCAAGTAAGAAGGCAGGTAGGTGGAGGCTGACCAAGGGCAGAATGATCTTGGTGGGGCAGTGCCCCATTTGTCCTAAAGGACCAACCTCAACTGGACTTCTGCCTATGTTCATCTATGGGATAATGCATGCGATCATACAGCTTGCCAGGGGAGAAAAGTAGAGATGGTGTGAGGAATCACACATTTCCATGTTCTAGATCATGTACAGATTATTCCTCAGAAGCATTTGCATTTCCCTCATTTTTTAAAGTCTCTGTGCTTCTCCTCTTTAGTCCTGAAGAGCAGAACCTAAAATTAAAACAAACAAACCCACCTTTAGACATCATTGTCCGCTTTTTCATCAAGGCTTTCCCCTCCTGCATTCCCTCACTGGCCAGTCTCTCTTCATTAGGCAAGTTGTATCAGCAGCACAACACAGTGCTTAGTCTTCACAACTAGTATCAGCATGAGAATACAGAGGACAGTCTGCTTTCATCAGGTGGGCTGCATCAGCAGAAGGTCACAATGGCCAGTCTTCAGGCCAGCAATGTCATTATGAGATCATAATGGTCAGTCTTCAGGCCAGCAAAATCATCACTGAGGACACAGTGGCCAGTCTGCCAGGCTCCCCTCAGGTGGGGAGCATCAGCACAAGGTCCTAACAGCCAGTCTCCTTTCTTCAGACATAAGAACGATGTGGTCCCTGAAGCAAGCACCCATAGTAACAACATGTGGAAATGATACTCTCACATTCACACATTGTGGTTGGCAAAAAAAAAAAAAAAAAAAAAAAGACCAGATGGGCACAGTTTCTTTGTCAATTAAGTGGGTATATACATGAGCATGTGGGCACAGTTTCTTTCTCTTACCAATATGATCAACCACAGACTGTAGAGCACAATAGCTACCAGTTTCTCATACTGAAATGGACAGCTGAGTGTGGATGTAGCAGTTTGAAGGACCCTGTGCTCCTCTAGACATTGCTTGACTCCAACTCCCATCATCCCTGACAACAGGGCTGGAGCTCATGGGAGCTAGAGTCCCAACAACATCTGGACAGTCACAGATTCCACCACCCTTGAGATTATAGGAAGCAAGGGGTTGAACAGCACCTGGAGGCAGAGGCAGAAAGCAAGGTATGGTGTACCCAAGTACATAGGAAGACTTCATCTAATAGCAAGTGTCCTGATGCTAGATTAAAAGAGAGAGACTTGATGACAGATGGTGGGCAGAGGGAGGGGAATCAAGAGGAGAGGTGGAAGTTGGGAGCACAGTGTGTGGATAGAAGTAGTGATGTTCACCCTGGGCATGGCAGCTCCTTGCTCAGAATCACAGGGCAACTCACAGAAGACCAGCAATGGAAAATCAATGTTCAGGAACAACAGTAGCTAGGGAAGGGGGAGGACCAGGGATGCAGGAAAGCAAGCCAACAAACTGGAGGAAGGAGGACATTAAAATGTAATTTTTTTAAAAAAATGGCAATAAAAGCTAAAACAGCACCCAAGTAAAAGCAAGGCCTTCAATAGGGGCCTCATTGTGGAAGGAAACATAGCAGGAGGAAATTGATTTTTTAAAAAATAGTATTTATTAAGGTTTTAAGTTTACAAAAAGGCAAAAGAAAAAACACCAAATTAAACAATAGCAAAACAACACATCACAATAAAAAAACAGAAAAATGGAAACAGTTAAAAACAAAAAAAAACAAATCGAACCTTCCCATAACTTATCTTTCATTTGCTTGTTTCCCTGACCTCCTCACACCTCCTTTTTTGGTATTCTAAGTCAATTATCCATTTCAGCAAATCCTTTCCCTCTCTTCAAAATTTTTATCCTGAAAATTTATCTTGATCTTAATATAAGTTTACTTTCCCTCTTTTCACCAATTAACAGTCTATTTTTCTTAAATCTTTGTTACATTTTTGCTAAAATCACATAGATTCATTCCAACATCATTCTAACATTCATTAATTTTACAATGTTTCTGTAAATAGTCTTTAAATTTCTTCCAATCTTCCTCCACCGACATAGCAGGAGGAAATTGAGAGGCACTGGAGAGAGGAAACGGGCATCATGCCCTCCCCACACAGAATTAGCAGCTGACAATGTCCAAGCACCAGGGACGCGGGTGGCGCTGTGGGTAAAACCTCAGTGCCTAGGACTTGCCGATCGCATGGTCGGCGGTTCGAATCCCCGCGGCGGGGTGCACTCCCATCGTTCGGTCCCAGCGCCTGCCAACCTAGCAGTTCGAAAGCACCCCCGGGTGCAAGTAGATAAATAGGGACCGCTTAGCAGCGGGAAGGTAAACGGCGTTCCGTGTGCTGCGCTGGCTCGCCAGATGCAGCTTGTCACGCTGGCCACGTGACCCGGAAGTGTCTGCGGACAGCGCTGGCTCCCGGCCTATAGAGTGAGATGAGCGCACAACCCTAGAGTCTGACAAGACTGGCCCGTACGGGCAGGGGTACCTTTACCTTTACCTTTAATGTCCAAGCAAGGCTGTAATTGTTTTTACAGTCAGGGCCGTCTCTACCTGGGGGTGCAAGGGGTGTGGGGCACCCGGGTGCTGAATTCTGGGGGGCGCCAGGCACCCGCCGCTGAAGCCACCTAAACTCTTAACCGCGATCGGTGGTCGATCACGGTCAATCGATGGGTCATTTCCATTCTCTTTTGTGGAAGAATCAATGTATCCAGCGGTGCCCCCTAGTTGTATCTTTCATTTTTGCATGATCACAAAAACTGAAGACAGAGCTATCGCTGCAGCTTTTTATTTTTTCATGTTAGCGGTTTTCGCTGTTCACCTCCTTAAAACCTCAACAACTTTGACCTGCCCCCGCCCCCAAAATTGGGGGCACTGGGTGGTTCTTTGCACCCCAGTGGTGCATATGCTAAAGATGGTACTGTTTACAGTGGCCCTACCCTAACCACTTTGGGTATTCCCAGTAAGTGGTATCACCATCAAACGAAGCCCTCAGGGTCTACCTAATGTGTTTGCAATTAGCATTTATTCATTCATTCTAGTTTTATTTCAGTGTAGGAAATAAAAGTTGTTGGGCTTTTTTTTCCTAAAATAATCAAAGTTGTTGAGCTTCTCTTGGGAATTCAAGGGTAAAAATACCCTGTAAATAGGATATTGTGGGGGACAAACTTCTGCATGGGGGGCAGAACCTCAGATAATTGAGTACTTTCAATGCTTTTCAATAATATTTGTAGGTGGGGGGCAGCACTGATTTATATATCTGAAAAGTATAAATAATTTAAAAAAAAAATAGTTTTGGTCAATGCAATACTAAAATGAAAGTGACCAATTTTGTTTTAGTTATGCATTAATTAAAACGAAACACTTCTCTTATTGCTAAGACTCAGCCTTCCCTCTGTTGTGCAATGACTTACACACTAGTCTCAAATGCTCGGAATATTTGCCCATTGACCCCAAGATATCTAAGGGCAATTTCAGATGTCGGTTTGACAGTTTGTCTGCTGAATGCCAGTAAAAAGCTAAGAGCTTATCTTTCTCCTGCCTGCTGAATCCCTCACGCGCGTGCATTATAAGCCTGTTGAACTCAAGTGGCCTTACTTCTGAGTAGGCATATATAGGATTGCACTGTAAGGCGGCCCTTCTCTCACTTTCCTGGGAGTAAGTCCCGTTGGACTCAGTAAGACTTACTTCTGAGTAGAAATACTTGAACACGCGTTTGCTTTAAAAAAATTTGTAGGTCTGACTTTTGAGTAGACATGCGTGAGACTGCGCCCGCGTCAGTAACCCGAGAGCCAACGCCTACGTGCGGCATCTTTCCATCCTACGCAAGCTAATTTTGGGGAACCCCCCCCCCCGGAATTTCCACGGGGCGCCTCTCCCACCGGCCCTTTCTGCCTAGGCTGCGCTGAGCCCCGCGGCCCCCGTCGCCCATTCCCCCCTCCGCACACGAGGTGGCGCTTCGAGGCCCCGTCTGGCAGCCGTCGGGCTGGGCTGGGAGGCGGCGGAGCCGAAGCGCCGCGCTTGCGCTCAGGAGCAGCGGCGGCGGCGGCGTGGGCGGAGAGGCGGCTTCAGAGGCTAAAGGTCCTCAGAGCGAGTAGCGGCGGTGGCAGCAGCAGCAGCAGCAGCAGCAGGAGGAGCAGCGGCCGCGGGAGCCTTCGCTTTGTCGCCAAGATGCCGGCTGTGTCGAAGGGGGACGGGATGCGCGGGCTGGCCGTCTTCATCTCCGACATCAGGAACTGTAAGCGCGGCAGCCCCGGACGAGGAACTGGGGGGGGGGGTCCCCCGTTGCGCTGGCAGTGGGGAGAGGAAAGGGAGGTCACTTGGGCAGGGGCCGTTAGCTATGGGGAGAAGCGGGGGGGTGGGGAGGTATCTGGGGGGCCGGGGTTGCCTCTGTCGGGCGGGGCTCCCGGGGGACTCCCCGGCTCGCCCGAGTCTTGCAGTGACTTGCGGTTCCTTTTCCTAGGAAAGGGCTGCTCTGCTCAATATTGCGGAAGGCTGGGGGGGGGGAGGGAAGGGAAGCGGAGTCCCTTCTCCGTAGGGCTGGGGCGGCGTGAACTCGGATTCCTCCAGCAAGGAGGGGCCCTGTTTACAAGGCTTGTGGACGTGTGTGTGTGTGGAGGGGTGGGGGGAGATGAGGGCATGCCTGTCAGACGGGGTTGCATTTGGATCCTTCGCAGAAGAGAGTGAAGGGGCTTGTTTGCATGTGATAGCGTGGCTGTTCAGGATGGGGGGGAGGAATTGTGGGGGGTCAAGACCCTGGATCCCCTTCTCCCTTAAAATGATCTGGTTGGCTGGCTGGCTGGCTGGCTCGCACGCTCACGGAAATCCCTAGTTGTCGTTTCTGAAATAGCCTTAGAGCTATGGTGGTGCTAATCCTGTATACAGTATTTTGATTTGGAAATCTGGGCTGGGCTGAATCAGTCTCGCCGGTCGGCTGCCTGTATAAAAGGTGCAGAGAGCCAAGCTATGTGCCAGTTCACATCCTGGAAAATGGGTCCTAAGGAAAGGTGCAAATATTTCCTAATTTGGGTGGGGAGAAAGTATGAGAGGCGATGAAAGGAATGCACTGGGACCAGTAGGATGGAGGTAAACATGAGTATTGGAAGCGAAAAAGGCAGCTGGTGTAGGGAAGGAAGTATCGCCCCCCCCCTGGGAAGTCTATGTATGAACCAGGAAACTTACTCCAGTATTATGAATATGCCTGTTAGTGGTGTCTTGTGTGCAGGAAAGCACAAAGCAGTAGGGCAGGTACAGTAAGAGAAGCTTTGGCTTCTCTAGTTCCAGCTCTTGTAAAAAATGTGGGTTTTTTAAAAAGCCGTCTCCCTAAAAATGGCCACTAGCACCACACGCTAGAATCTCTTGCTTTTTAAATCACTTACAATATGTATGTGCTGAAAACATGTACTGAATAGCTTTCACTGGCCTACTGAAATGTGATCCATTTTAGAATAACCAAATGTAGCTGAGTTGGCCTGCTCACCAAACACATTTGTTGCCTAAATGACTGCTTAAATTCCAAAACAATAACAGTTGGAATGGCACAGGCTGAATTGCATTTAGAAGGCAAGTTAGTTAAATTGGTACAGTTTCTGTGTCTAGATAAGCCTGCAGTCATCTGAGGTTTTTGCAAATTCCCTGCTGCGTCCTAATCTTCTTTTGGCAGTGTGGCCACTGTCTTCAGGAGATACTTAAGAGCAAAGCTGGAGAGGCCTGGCTAAACTGGTGAACTGGCCAGTGTTAATCTTAAGAACAGTTTCAAGAATACTAATGGCCTTGTGTAGGTATGCCAGCACACACTCCACAGTTACAGTATTTCCAACTTTGAGGAGAAAATTCTGTATGTTGCCTGTCAGAGATTACTGATGCTGCACAAATCTGTGTATAAATATTATTGTTGCTAGAAAGAAGTTACCTGGCTCCAGGTAAAGGTAAAGGGACCCCTGACCATTAGGTCCAGTCATGACCGACTCTGGGGTTGCGGCGCTCAACTCGCTTTATTGGCCGAGGGAGCCGGCGTACAGCTTCCGGGTCATGTGGCCTGGATGACTAGCGAACCAGAGCAGCGCACGGAAACGCCGTTTACCTTCCTGCCAGAGCGATACCTATTTATCTACTTGCACTTTGACATGCTTTCAAACTGCTAGGTTGGCAGGAGCAGGGGTCGAGCAGTGGGAGCTCACCCCGTCGCGGGGATTCAAACCGCCGACCTTCTGATCGGCAGGTCCTAGGCTCTGTGATTTAACCCACAGCGCCACCTGCGTCCAGGTACCTTAGAGTTATCTTTTAGTAACCTGGACGAAAAGGGGTGATTTGATTCCTAGGGTGCTTCAAGAGAAGGCAGCTCCTCCATTAACCTAAGGCCAAATCAGGATGTACAACATGAAGTATCTCAAAGTAGTAGTACTTCTAGCACAGGAGTGCCACATAATGATGCCTAGCTGCGTACTACTAGTTGATTTATTATTATTAGGGCAGTTCACAAGATATATTTTTTTAAATATCCTTGTATTCCACTTATATTAGCTGTTTCTGTAACAGAGTTTGCCACAGCTTCCATTTGACTGTGGGTATTAGGCACACTGAATCAACATACCCATCACCTGCAGAAAATAAAAATACTAATGTTGCTGTGGGAAACCACTGTTCAAAAGTGACCTTTCAGCCACTGAGCATATTGATGTTGGTTATGCTCTAGTGCTAGAGTACAATTGAGAGCTATTGCCCAAATACCCAGTTTGAAGACGCTTGTCTGCCCAGCCTGATACACAGCTTAGCTGCATTTTCATTTGTCAGTGCAGTTCTTGTTATACCTATTTGGAAGAAATTCCTCTTGACCTGCAGATGTAACAGACATAGTAGGACTTTAGTGAAACTTCCTTGTATATTTTGTGTGTATGTGTTGAGAAAATTGTCTCTCGTCCTGCATACTAAGTGGAAATATATTGAGCTATTGGAATAAAATATCAAAATGCTTACGTTGCCAACATGAATTCTTCATGTATAGTAGTTTTTTTTCCTGAGGGGGATTACTTGAAGAAATGTTTTATAACATAAAACTCATCTTCTGGGATCCATGTCCTGTGTTCTGTATTTTGACAGGCAGAGGGGAAGAGGCAGTGTTGAGTCAGACCACTGGATCGGCATTAAATTTTGACTTTATGCAGATCTGATGGTCTGACTCACCACTGCCTGTCAAATTGCAACAGCAGGACATGAATCCAATATGATTAGCTCAACTGTAAGATTCCTTCATGCCCCCAACATATAAAAATAAAAGCTTAGAGGTTTATAGTAACCCAATCCTTTAAGCAGAACATTTAAAATGCACATTTCAGCTACTTAATGCCTGGGGAGGGAAAATGTCAAATTGGTTGTGTCTTCCATCTTCTGTATTGATTTAAAATATCCTTTAGATCACAACAAAAATCACACTGCACCTATGTGATGGGAAGCAGTAAAAATAATAACCTGCAGTGATTGTAAACTGGGAGAGGACAAATTTTTGTGGGCTTTTATTTTTAAATACAGTGGTACCTCAGGTTAAGAACTTAATTCGTTCTTGAGGTTTGTTCTTAACCTGAAACTGTTCTTAACATGAAGCACCACTTTAGCTAATGGGGCCTCCTGCTTCTGCCGCTGCGCCGCTGCTGCATGATTTCTGTTCTCATCCTGAAACAAAGTTCGTAACCTGAGGTAATATTTCTGGGTTAGCGGAGTCTGTAACCCGAACATCTGAACATACCTTTCTCCTACTGAACCTGCTTCTTCATTTCTGTTCCTGCTAGTCAACTTCAATAGCTATATGTAATCCACTCATTCCTGAAGTTCCTGAGGCCCTGCTCCAAGCATCCCTTCTAAATGGAAGTGTGGAGGGCACTGCTACAGGAGAGGACATTCTTGGTAGTGATGCCCTGGTTTTATATCTGCCTCCCCAGAGGGATTCACCTGGTGCTATCTTGATGGTCTTCTCAATGCTAGGTCAAGGCCTTTATATCCACAGAGTCTTTTCCTCTGGAAAGGATGCTTGTAATTGATGTGCATGTAAGCAGCATGTTCCAAGCTCTTGCTTCATGCCTTTGTGGAATATATAACCAATATACTAAGTACAGTATCTCTCTTAAATCTAGATGTTATTAATGATATTAAAAATGTGTAATACGCTGAGGCTTGCGATTAATGCTGCAGTCCAATGTGGTGATGGGCATAATATAAAAGAGGGGGGAAATGTTTGTCTTAAACAGAAAACGGCTTTTTCTTGTGTTGCTTTGACTTTCAGTTCATCTAATTTCAGCAACACGGATGGGTTTTGCAAGCGGAAAACAAACCACTCCATGTACTCAGTGATGTGTTTATATAATCAAGGATTTGGTGGCTGACGTCCTGAAATGATATCCCCTGTTGATCAAGGCACACAATTAATTCCACATTGTTCCATACACACTTCTTTGTCACTGTGGGCACCTTCTGCACACCATAATTAAGCACTTCCAGCTGACTGCAGAGAAGGCTGGCAATGCTTGTTTGTAACATCTGAGGCTCTGCTATGTCTGTGGCGAATTCTGAATTATCTTCCTGCCTTTTTACCTGACATACCAGGGTAACTATTGCTTATGCAGTAGACATCTATCATAGGGCACAAGTGATGGTTAGAGGAGGAGCTGAAGGCAGCTTTATAGTGTTTCCAGCTTTGGGTTGTATAAAACTATTGGGAACTAATAATTTTACACCTGTCTTGGGCCTCTGATTATCCCTAAAAGGGTAGGTAAAGTAACTTGTTGTTAAAACTTGACGGCATTACCTTGCCTTTCTGTTAATGGTGCTCATACAGAGTGGGGCAGCAGTTGTTCTCAGTAGGAAGTCTGGGAATATTCCAAAGAAACCTTATTCAGAACCCAGCTTTTTCTCTAAACACTGTAGCACCTGAAGTTGCAGCACTCACTAGGCACCACTGCTTATGATGTCCTCCCTTAGAGAGTTCTCTGTAAGGCTCCCATGATGCATTGGCAGGTCCAGTCCAGCTTTTGTGAGTAATTGGTACAAATTGATAAAGGATTAGAATGATATGCACTGATCTCCCACTCCCTACAAGAACTCTAGTAGGTGCATTCTGGGCCAGTTGACTTTTTCCAGGTTGGCCTTAAGTAGCCCTACACAGATTGCATCTTGGTAATCTGCACCAAAGGGCACAGATGTCTGGGCCTAAGTCCAACCTCTCCAAATCAGAGCACAGTTGGCAAA